ACAGCTCTAGCGTTCTTCATACCTCAATCAATATGCGATCATTATTTTATGTATTGTATGTGTATGTATTTCTTAACTACTGCTACATCCTGCTTCATTCCTTCGCGCGCGACGCCCCTCTCACCGCGGTGCGACCATTTCGTTCCTAACGCACCACACTCTTAATTTCCTACGACTTGAGCGCGTACGCGGTGGTGACCTCACTAGCGATATGATTGAAGGTATATGCGTCTGTTTACAATACCTGACCACCCTTTCTTATTTCCAATGCCATCACGGTCTTCGATGACATTGAAAAGAAGGGAGAGGGGTTACGATGCAACGAATTCATTAGAAACTCGCAAGTAGGGTGGTTTTTGTCGATGTGCTACATAGTATTTACCGTATAGTTAATTTGAAGCGCTGTATCTTTCCAGGGATAGCGAAGTACTCTACATCCAGAGTTAAGGGACTTAATTTTGAGGTTTGCTCATGAATGATATGCAGTGGTTGACGACGGGAAGTTGAGAGACCTCAAAGTTGCGACTGCGTTCCATTCCTCATGTTCGCATGCACTACTGCATGTGATGTTTGTTTGGTGATGATCTGTAGTTATTGCCCCTCTCCATCCCACTCGAAGTGGCATGTGTCATCGGATTATGAAGGGCACCATGGTCAACCTGGAGCGGGAGCGTCATTTTCGTGTTTTAGAGGGTTTCGAAACCACCGCTTTCCATTAAATTCGTGATAGACCTCAGATTACCTGCCTTCTTGCTGCGTTTAAGTTTTTGGGTTGTGAAAGGTAGTAAGACCTAGCTTTCATCCAGTCGCCTCTCCGTCTTTGCTTGCATTTGATGGACCCGTTCCTGAGATTGCTCTCATTTCAACGTACTCTGCACGGCCGATCATCGAATCGTTAGGTTTGAAATGGTTAACGACAAGCTTCTTTTCGATTGTCATCACAGTTTCAGCCCCATTTCTAAAGGCACAGTTCACGATAAAAAAGGCATGTGAGATATTGAGACACGAGAGAATGACATTTTTCCGCTAAGATAAAACTATGGCCCCCTCGTGTATCATATGTAGTGCGATCAGTTCAAAGAACGGTCTAGATAGGGCTTTATAAAGGCTCAAGTATTGTCCTGTGTGTATGCCCGGACGATTTCAACGACATTGTAGAGGCTGCACCATCCACAACGGATCCCATTTAGAAAGTTCAAACAACTTGTCATGACCCATAGCGACAGTGAAAGACAGTTATGTACAGTTCTGGCTTAATGTAGTAAGCTCGTTGCGCATTGGCAACATCTGAAATCTCGTCCAAATACCCCTTTCATGTCATTTCCGACGGGAACCTCTGTTTTCAACATCTATTTTCGCTATTTTTAGAGGACTCATTTTGCCTAGAATCGGCAAATTTTCTTGCATCCTNAATACTTCCGCGTAGATTCGCGCTCCTAGCGAATAACAAGCCTCACGAAGAAAACATTGCATCAAAGGGTGAATTCAGGGCGTGCGTAGGTGCGAAGGAGCCACAATCCGGTTGTTCATTTAGAAGAGGCACTTGGGTCGTCAATGAGTCTCAAATACACATAACCAGTTGTTTGGTACTTGTGAAACTTTTTTGAACCTGTGATATCATAGCAAGATACTCCGCCCAATATATCAAATGACTCAAAGGATAAATCACAGGACTTTTCCCATAATAGAAATACGCTGGGACTACCTAGGTGAATAATCAGAAATGGGGGAGCAGTTCCCACCCCTAGATTTTCAGAAGCTTTGTGGCGAAAACTGTCCATTCCGCTGTTTGGGATCGCTTTACCAAGCGATCCCAAAAAGGCCACACATTCCATCATATGTGAGAGAGCACATGCTCGCCACCCAGAGATTGTTAGCAAAAAAGACGCTGGCTTTTTTTACATTTGTGAGGGTTGAGTAATGAATAAGGCCAACGCCATTGGGAGTATTCAAAGTATTTTCTATAAAATATCAAAGGCACAGTTCACGATAAAAATGTTTTCTGAGATTTCCCCATTGGGTGAATACGAGACTCCCTCTTATGCCATACCACACTTTATAAGGACGAAAAACGTTCTGTATTAAGCACAATAACGAACCACATATTGTACCTTGTGAATGCCGCACCCTAGTGGACGAGTTTTAAAGGCTTTGTAGAGGCTGCGCTATCTCGAGAGACTCCCAGTAGGAAGTTCAAACAACCTGTCAACCTGTCATAACCCATGGAAAGGCGTGAAAGGCAATTCTGGACAGTTATGGTTTGATGTAGTCGGCTCTTTGCACGCTGGGAGCAAGTAAAATCTCGTCCAAACACCCCTTACATGCCCTTCCTGTCGCGATGATCTCGTACAACTTTCATTTCCACTACTTTTAACAAGCATGAAGCAGGTGGATTTTATTGCTTTCTTCGCCACAGCTGTACTCCTCTACATCAACACTTCCGTTTTCCAACCTAAAAAGTGTACCTCAAAATTATCGTGACCTGTGCCTTTAAGGAATGGCCAAATCCGAATCAACATCAAACCTTAAGAGTTACCTTCCCAATACGGAATGGAACCTTCCGGTGTCTTTATCCGTTCCTGGGTGGAGCTGTTTATTGGCACACGTGTTGACGTGGCAAGAGTGCATAGGTGGTAACGTGGCTAAACGGCAGGGTGAAGAAACGGCCACGGTATCTATCTAGGACAAATTATCGTCCCATCAGTCTACCTAGCACAGACGAATATGTGCAGATGCACCGGGCAGATATGGGCTAAATTCCTCAAACTGTGGGAGTGGGAGGACTTGATGATTGTTGCATTTGCTCTCACATGTAGTAGTTGTGGTAAATCGGTTGTTTACTGCTACGCAACCGATTTACAGCGTTGCATACAGTCGCCCCACCCGTTCACCCTGCAGTACGTCCTATCCAAGGCCTGCCGTCCTTGAGCGCTGTATTCAAAGACACCGTAGAATTACTCATGTAAGTCTCCTAGATTTAGAAATGTTCAGTGATCCGTGAATAATTCATTCAAAGGTCATTAACACGGGTAGTGAGATGGGAGTATTCGAAGATGATTTATCCCTACGAGCTTTTTNTTTTTGTTCTTTTAATAGTTCAGTTTTGTCGTTTTTACTGAGTAGTAGTCGTCGTAGTAGTGGGTAAAACAGGGGTGTAGTAGGAAACCGCAGTGCGCCTTTATTACGTACATATTTATAAATGTCCTCACTCTCGCTTGGCGACCGAACTACCATTTTCGTTCTCGATGCCGATGGGCGCGTAAACTCGTCCGTTTTATTTGCCGATAGACACTTTTGCACGGAACATCATGTGCTTAGCCACTAGCTTTTATTGGTGCTCCGATGGTTGAGGTGGAAATTCGCGGTGTGTTAAACGATTCTTCAAGTTCGCCTCCTCTGTTTGTACTTATTCTTCAAAATTCCCCCAAAAGTGAGGCCCTGGAATCCTTGACAGTTCTGCCATTCCCGAGTGATGAATGTGTGAATACTAGTTTTCTCTTATGTACCGTCAGAAATTTTTCGGAATTGAGATGGGCACTACCCACGTCTTCTGAACGTGGAAAGTGCCTACAGTGAGGAAAAGCATCAGGTCGAAAGCGGTTAAGACTTTCAGACTTTGCAACGGTAGGGAATTATGGACGGTAGTGAGATGACGGTAACAAGCGACACGGCGACAGTGGGCACTCAAGAAAACTGCGCTTTTTCCTTTAGAGAACTCGTCCACAGCCAGAACGATCAGATTGTAATTGTTGACGCGGAAGTGAATAGTGCGACATTCTGTGATCTATGAGAACTAACCTCTCCTGAGTGGAGTGACTCAGTTCATTAGCCAGAGGCGGACACTTGCACCTGCACAGATCTTGACTTAAAAAATTAAGCTGTCTACCGCAACAGAATTATTCGGTTAGGACTCAGATAAACGTAGGTTGATTCAGAGAGGTCGGACTCAGTTAGATGCTTCACGATTTTAATAGAAACCGAATGCATGAAGCATCCTTACGCCAACATTGACTAATGCAGTGATAAAATGACGCCACAGGGGCAAGGCTAGAATTCCCTCTCCTCCTTCACCAGCTATTGTGGGTTACTTGGCAAAAATCGAGATTCTAGTGAAGTTTTTGTCATCTCCCACTTATGTTTTCTAAAGTGCGCCTCCGCATTTTACTTCCATTTCAAAATAATAATGACGTTATGAATGCGTATACGGCCAAAACAATCACTTGCGGTTGCCAGTCGATGCACTAGTCAGGGTCTTTAAACTCCCAAACGAGTCAAGTACCAATTAGCTCACCCAAAAGGGTGGAAGGCTCGCTTGGACTACTTGACTAGCCGGGATTGGTTCCGAGACTATGCGTGCGATGGTGCGCCTCTAGTCATTACCCTTCCCTGGACACTAAGAATTGAAGACTATTCTGCATTTCAGTTCCATGAAATAAGCAGCAAAAGATGGTGATAAGTAGCCAATATAGCTTTCAGTATTCACTTGACTACGTTTCTACGGTACTCCACGGTTCTGCCATCAAAGAACTATCCGAGAACCAATAATTTCCTCTTTTTGACGTCCGCGTTAGATAAGTTCAGCAGTTGTTGTTGCCTTTGCTACTGTCCGTTTCTTTCGTCCCTGACATACTGGAGTTCTCCGTCGAGTCCAGTGCCACCCCAAACTAAACATTTGAACCCACGTCGCTTACAGATTGCTGCAGAAGTGGCGATCCCTTGGACAAGTTCGGTCGCGTTCCACTCTGCGCTTCTTCAGTTGATGTTTGACTTTATCTTCTCCAGTTCAGCATTCAGGACGTGCACTCAACCGTTAACCTTGCTCATATTCTTTCCTTACACTTTCGCATCCGTCTATCGAATACGCAATTTGAAGCCAACAAGTCAGCCCGGGAGCTAGATTCCCTCTTAGTGAACACACATGATTTTTTCAAACTCGACCACTAAAATTTCTGATATTTTGGAACTCGATCACAGAGAATTCTCCAAAGTTTGAATCAGAAATGTTAGGGCTAAACGTATTCACTTCTTGCCAGAAGAAAGTCGAAGGCCCCGGGTTCGCTGCCTTCGGGTCAACCTTTTCAAACACTCATGCACTATATTTCCTACTGCAATTCAATGCTAGAAGTTGTATCCTGTCATTGGTAATGGAACTTTTTCCCATTCATTAGCTCCAGGTTGTTTTCCTCCTACATAGTGAAGCTAATTTATCAGACTGAACTCTGAGATCCTCTGCTTTTCTTACCTATCACCTGTAGGGTAGACTGTAGTGCGCCAGTGAACGAGAGTGAAGGGCAAAAAAGTGAAGCGACCCGAGCGGATCTTCATATTGCCCCTCCACCACTGCGGATCTCATTTTTTCCCCAAGTTTTTTGTTAGTAACCTCGACTAGTCTTAATCAGCATCTTTACAATACTCTCTAATTCTTAAATGTATGAGACTCAAAGACAACTTTGAGGGAGTAAAAGTTACTAAAGGTATCAATCGAATATTCCTCTCCCAGTAGCTGCAGTGCGCAATGCTTGAAATATGTGTACTTATTGTATTGAGCTGTTCCGATCTGCCAAATTTGTTTAAAATCTTCAAATCCTTGCGAATTTTGTTTTCGGGACTCTTTTTTGGCTCTGCCTTCCATCTACATACAGTCCAAATAGTTCTGAGAATAGCTACAGACATACATTGCCGTGTATAAGGAATCATTGAACTCTTGAATTCTTACAAATACTTGTTTCAGAAGAAGCGAAGGATGTCTGGACGCGTTCCAGTCGAATATGTTTCAATGTAAAAGCAAAGAATGCCCGCCAGATGCTGAATGTCGCGACGAGACCGTGACACTGGACGAGAGCCAGGAACAAGCATTGAAGAACTTCTTACGTCACAAAGTCTCTACTGGAGTTGANAGTAATCTTCTCGATGTCCTGCGGAAGAACTACGACATCGGTAGGTCTCTTTTTGGTAGTATACTTGAGGGAGAGGAGAACGAGATTAGATCTGGAGTCCCAGTATTCATGGGTGAACAGTAAGAGGAACCGCATGGGCAGGCAGCGGAACTGCCGAAACCGACTTATCTTGGCCGAACATCTGCCCCTCTCTGTGTAGAGGGCTCATTCCAATACTTTTTGTTAGTCTTGATCGCTACTCCCCCCATTTACACTCCCTGTTCAGGCGATTGCACGCCTTACTCAATTCTGGTCGTTCTCGTAGTTGGCAAATTACCTTTTTGTCAGAACAGCTTCATTGCCAGTGAAAATATTAGCGTAGAAATAGCCTCATACTGCTCAGCTCCTGGTAACCTTAAGATTTCTTATGGCGATTTCAGTTTTCCTCTAGAAATTCGGAACCCAAGGTGTTTCGACAGAGGATCAGCAATTTCAGTTTTTAGCTGGAGCATTCGTCATGCTTTAGGAACTGTCAATTGTCTGTAAATTAAATTAATCGCAAATTGAATTGGGGCTTGAATCTATGCAGATTGAGTGGGTATCTGTGAAGCTCTCTTCCTCACTCAATAGATTTCAAGATTTCTTCCAGGTAAGGAACAGTGCTAGTCACTGACAGCTCCTAACAACATAAACTCATTGTATGAGTAGGGAGAGAAGCGTGAAGTGGGGTTACTTGAGTCTAGTAACTGATTGTTGTAGGGTTAGGCCTACTGATTGCTGACTGATTTTACACTTCACGGAAACCGAGGAAAGTTGTCAAGGAAGCCTCTTACAACCTCTCATAAGCCTCTTACAGTTGAAACATGGTAATTATAGCTGATCATCTTGCTTTCAATCTTTTGCAAAAAATTGTACCGTAAATGTCATTGTAAGGATCTGCAGACACAGTTTTTCTCGATTAAGTTAGCGGAATTCCACTGCTTGATACTGTCCAAAGTACAATTGCAGGGCAATTTTGCAAGTAAAACACACCAAGTGCAGCCATTACTGCCAATCCCTCCTGGTAAAACTGTAGCAAACTCCTGAATAAGACGTGCGATCACCTCAACAGGGAGTGGGACTCCAGAATCAACTGAAACTCCCTTGTCTGCTTGTCGAAGCGAGGACCCGTTTACGAAGATCGTTCCGCGCCCTAAAATGGATTGTTCCAAACCGTGACTCATGTGGAAAAGCGAGTTCAGCCTATGTTTGGTAATGTAAAGGGGCGCTTTTAGTCGTTGTGCTGCTAAGTGGGAGTCTAGTATAGTGATGTTTTGCCATGTTCTCCCACCTGCTCCCTCGACCCCGTTTCCGCCACGTTACAGTTCAAACTGCCCACAGAAAGTGTTTATAGAAATCGTTCTCTCTCCTAACATAAACCAATCTTAATTGCACTTCGACCGCCCTTTTTCTTCCTTTCTTACAGAACCACTTTTCACAGTACTATCTTGAAAGAAGGGGGATAGGTGACATTTTACTTATTTAAATTCCTTCAAATTGGTCAGTTTTAACTGAACTGAACGATTTTTGCCATTACCAATTGCCGTTCGAACATTTCCTTTAAAATTCAGCGCTACAAAATGCCAAAGTGAAAATTGGACAGTATCGCTAGACCCTGGTTAGATACGTCCATCTAAGGACAACTAGTCGGAACTTCAGACTGTTCTAGAAGACTGTAACAAAGGTGTCATTTGCCGTCTGACCTTTCTCCCTTCAAATAATTCCATTAGCAACGGCGACTGTCATTAGATAACCCCGTAGAAGGAGGTACACCCATGAATTTCGAAAGTAGCCAACATCAAGGCTGCTTTTGAAATTTGCCACTTTCTACTGCAAAAAAGGGTTATTATGGTTTTCTAGCCCAGAGCCATTAATCTCCATTTTATTTTTTTACAATGTTTCAAGAATATAAAAAAAAACTGCAAAATGAAAAGTCGCGGTTTTAAACGAGGGAACTAGAAGGTATAGGATCATAGCATCGGAAAATTTGAACTCCTATCTCAGGATCCGAGTCCGCTTGAGATAAGAGAGCATATCCTGGCAGACACTGATCATATGGAGTCTTCAAACTGCTCAAATCGCAAGCTTAATAACAGGAATAATTTTTTCCAATTAAATACTTCGATGTGTGGAAAAGAGGATCTAGGGAAAGATAAGTTGAACACGTTCACAAATCTGCAGTCATTACTCTATCCCAAAGACGATTTCCATCAGAACGGTTAGCTCTACATTGCTCACATTTTCAAGCTGTCCGCTCTTAGACATCATTCTACCAAGTGTAGCTGAGTTTGATCTCAACTTCTACATAGTTTACAGCTTTCCTAGTGACTAGTGAGGGAGAAATGTACGCTGCCTTTGCTGGTCCCTCTTTTCCCTGAATACTCCAATAAAGTTTTCTTTCCTAAAGAACCCCCACCGTGTCATTCGCTCAAGCCCGTGATAACTTTTTGATGTTTCTAGTTCCACGTTTTTCAGTGAGCGCACTCGCCGACATCGAATCCTCTGAAGGGGGACCATCGACGATCCCAAATCATCTGTAAGTCTGGTTCTTTCGAATAGCATTTTCATTTAGAATAAAGGTTACTCCACCACTCCTTTTCCCAGGGTAAATTTTGTGGTTGGGCCAGGTAAATGTCTTTGGGAGAAGTCATACCTCTGAAAACCACATAGAAATTGGTCAACCTGTTCAGCTCTCGGCAGTTTTCAAGAGGATGATAAAATAGCTTCTGCATTCGGGTTCTTTGTCATGTTGGCGACACCTGACTTTCAGAGGGCGTAACTGTAAAGGTTGTCATGTTTTCATATTCCTGGGTCTCACCGAAGAGTGGACATATCCAGCTTTGGTTGCTCTTCATTCAGAACATTTGAAAATTGTAATAGGATTATTTAGTATTCTCGTAGGTCCCGGACCGAATGAGATTTCTGCTAGGCAANAATGACTTTAACATTATCACACTGCTCGAATTCCCATGGTTTCATGACTTTATTTCAAGTGATCGTGATAATAAGAGGAATACTGAAGCCTTCACGATCAAATAGTACGGGTAAAGTGGAAGGGCGTCGCAACAAACGCTGCTGGGGAATGTTTGCGTTGTATTGTTTGCAAACTTGTGCTGTACAGGTGGAATTTAATCGGCCAGATCTCTCTGATGACCATTATTGTGTCGAATTCTTTTGATAAGGACATCAGTCAAACATGACTGTCAACAGCAAGATCCGGCGGTTGACGCCGTTAACGCCTTCAAAGTGAGTTTAGTAAGCAGGTCTTTTTCCGGTTAGTAGCCCTCATCATACCTACTCGGTGATAGTTTTTTCCGGCGTATCGATGCCCATATAGAAGCTCCTCCTGTCCCAAAGGCCTTTTTTGTTCTGGGATGTCCACCCTTCGTGGCTTTACCCGTTTCCTGTGTATTCTCCACTGCTGCCCGTTCTAGCTGCTGCTCTAAGTTGTTCCCTCGCGTCATCCCTTCCTGGAGCAGCCGGATGTCGTGTGTCCTCGTCCAGCTAATCTTCTCGGGGCTGGTTCCATGTCGATCATCATTCGATTTACTATATTGAATTAATATGCACCCTTAAAACTGTACACAGTCGATATTATGATAGATTAGTAGGATTTTTGGTGTTTCGATTCAGTTCTTCTAAGAAACCAATGAGTTCCTTTCAGCATGCGTGGACCGAACCAACGCATCTTCTCCGCCTCACCGAGACCAACAGCTCTTCGTCACTTCTACCCCAAAAACAGTTTCGAGTTCGAAAATGCTTCGATTTCTTCAACAGAAACTTCTGGTAAGCACAACTATCTGCTCTGCTCTTTCTATATTTTGTCTATATTTCGAAAATTGGAAACAAGGGTAGCGAAGAGGCTTTAACTCGTCCTAATAGTTGCACCTGCAGAACTCTTCAGCTGTATATGACCTAGGAAAGATTCCAAGAAAAATGGTCATACTTTTGGTCCAGACAAGCTGTTAGCAACTGGAAAAAGATAGGGTTTTCTTCTTATTTAACAAGGGACCAAGGATTCCATTACCAATGGTTCCCAGCACATAATTATATTTGTGGTACTAATGAATAGGTGTGACGCTGGTAGGCAAGCTGCAAAGTGTTCAGCCAGAACCAAGACATTCCCGTCATAGCAAAGTAAAAACCATAGTATAGTAAAAGAAACGAACTAGAGAACAAACATGGTGGTTTGCCCATCAACGTTGACAGAGAAACACCACCAACCCTGTTCCAACTCGGTGTTTACCGCATAAACGCCAATTCGTATCACTGCCAAACGGGCAGCGATTGAGGCCCCTTTTCTGGGCTAAAGGCACAATTCTCGATAAATTTAACGTACCCCTTTAAAATCAAAAAGTGTAAATGTTGTTGTACAATAGTGCAGTGAGGGAAGCGAGCGATTCCGTCGACTTCATAAAAATAAGGCTCCCTCATGGTAGCGAAAGTCGAGGTTTAGATCATCATGTTGAAATTGGCATGAGCGGGATTATCGGACGATATCATTTTTTGCGACTGCACAAAGAGCTGACTACATTGAGCCAAGCATGTCCAAAACAGCCTTCCCATGTAGCCATGTGTCACGACTAATCCTTTGAATTTTGAACATGGGTGCTCTTCGAAAAAAGGGCAGCCTTACAGCGCTATTCAAACTCGTCCGCTTTTGAGTGTGGCATACAGCCGATACAATCTTTGAGCCCTCATAATGCACTATATCTAGGCCATTNGGGGGGGGGGGGGGGGGGTATATCTCAGAAAGGAACAAATGCATCGTTAACTGTGCCTTCAAATGCTTGGCGACCTCAAACCTACTAAACCACGATCCCCTGTCCTCTGAATTCGATCAAAGCATTAAACCTAATTTCGCATTCGAGTTTTTTTGAGCTTTCGTTTTCTGAGTTCTTTTCGCCTTTGGCAGAACATTACATGCGACCCAAACTCCCTTACGCACTACTGAGGTAAGGGTTAGAAAAATACTTTGATGTTGAGGCGTAGGTGATGAAACGCCTAGTGCTTCACAATCACGCGAACGAAGATCGGATACCGGCATTATACCTCCCCAGGCCAACAAAGAATTCTATCCATCTGAGAACGGTAAATTTGTACAAAAGTCGTTTGAAAGGTTAGTGCACTGATTCGTCATCGGCTAGCCGACGCAAATCATCGCACAGGCCATTCGAAAAGGCCACTACAATTCCAAGTACAAGTCGAATACGGGGTGTATCTCAAAACGGGATTGATCACGCCATATAACCATTTTAGATTCTACCCTCTGACGTTTGTCTCAAAAGCGTCTTCCTTCACTCACTGAGTTCCTCTCATCGTTATGAGTGCGGATGCGTGGTAAATGACGTATTGGCAGGCCCTCCCACGTTGTCCCCATATGGAAGAAAAAACTAGTTTGGCTGAACCCACAACATCAAGTTGTTCGACGACAGTTCAAAAATCACTAATTAGTCATTTTCAGAAGCAGATGTGCAGGAACCGTTGTGGGTTCGCTTAACTAATGAGTTGAAATGGTTTCTCTACGACATCGCTGAGGCTTTTGAAACTCCGCCGTATCAGGAGCCTCAGAAGACCAAACCTGAAAGTCAGAAATTGTCAGCGATCGCTCTTCGACGAGATCTGAAACGATGCTGTACGTGATCTAATTGTTTTTCATTGTGATTCTGTTGACTTTTATCCTTTCTCGCTCCTCGTCATTTTCTCCTTTTCCTCAGCTTCCTTCCCTTTATCACTGCATTTTGAGCTTCTCATTAAAGGCGAGGTAAACAGTTTCTACAGAACCCATCGGTTAAATGTGTTCCGGGATTGAGATCTGACCGTACCCAAAGTTGTGGGGCAGACGGAGACCGTCACTCAGTTCAGGCTTTCAGTAACAAGAGCCTATACATTGCCTTTGACGAGAACTCGTAATTCAAATGTAGGACCTTTAACTGTGGGAGAGATGAGGGGCACCTTGAGAAGTCAGGTTGGGAGAGAGTAGAGGAGACCGTCTGCTATCAAGCGGCTGTTCCCATCAGAAATAAACGAGACCCGCTCTATGGCGACGAAAACGTTCATCTGAATTTTCACCTGAATTGCTCTCCCATCTCATAGTCTCGATTATAGTCGAATTTCAGTAAAGTGGAAAAAATTTACGAATCAATACAGATCAATACTTTCAGATAGTTTCCTACATCCGCTTATCGAAGTTGGTGCAGCCATCTACGACACACTTTTATGGAAGAACCCAATGCATACTCTTCTACTCGTTCTGGTATTGCATTCATTCCAGTTCCTGCCCTAAGGGGAGAGCTTCAACTAAAGTACTCCTACCTGGTAGTGTTCTTCTTCAGGTGTACACGTACTCGATCGTGCGCGGATGGACGGCGTCGTTGGTCCTACTGCTGTTATGGACCCAACTGTCACTTAACTATTTGAAAGCTACCAAGTATGTCACGTAAGAAACAGCCTGTGTTCAAGAAAAAGGGAACTACATTCATCTTTATAGGAATGTCGACATTGGACTATATTTTCTTCCTCGGAAAGAGGTAGCTATGATAAAATTCGACATCAGCGGAGCGCAGCTAATATTTGATGTAGCGAAATTTGCTCAGAGGTTGCTCAACTTTGCCGCAAATTTCCTGGAAAAACTCCATAGGTAGGACGAAATGCTTCGATAGCGGTTTCCCGGTGTCAATGAAGACTCACCAACGATCTTTCAGCTTACTGACATGGAAAGACCGCCATGTGACATTCGTCTTCTACTGCTTGGTGATCTATTGGCTCGCTTTGTCAATGATATTCAACACAGGCACCTGTCTTGGAATGTGTGGTGAGAGCTCATTCACCTTTGTAAATAGCTCTTCCGATGGTCTTCAAGCGTCCTGAATGAATTAAAAACTGCTGTTTAGAGGCACAGTTCACGAATTCCNATGTAGTTAGCTCTTTGCGCAATTGCAATAACTGAAATCTCGTCCGAACACCCCTTCCATGTTATTTCCGTCACGACAATATCGTCCAACCTCTATTTTCCCTACTTTTAAGAGCTATATTTTTCCTCGGAACCGGCGGATTCTCTCACGTTTTTTCAATTATTCCTAACCTATACTTCAGCTTTTTGAATAAAAAAGGGGTACCTTGAAATTATCGTGAACTGTGCCTTTAATGAGAGGTGAAAGATGAGATATGGTGAGAATGCACTCGAAATGCAGAGAAATCCCTTAAAATGTCGTCAAACCTCGGAAGAATTCTGGAAAAAGGATCTCGAACATTTAGGTCTCACCCTTGGTGTTCGTATTTTCATCACCACTTATCTGTTCCATCGATTTCCTCGTCTACGAAGACGACTCGACACTTACGGGTGGTTCTACCGTAACTTACCTGTGAGAACTTCTCGCGATGGCTCCCCCGTGCTTGCGCAAAGCGCGGAACAACCTTCTCTGGCTTCACGAGCGGTATGCGTGTAATACGTTAGGCAGTGGACCAGTGGAGTTGTTGAATACCTCTTTTTCAGGCGTCCCCGATACCCCGTCGATCCCTCAACCCGAACGGGCTGTTTACTTCTCGCCTTGGATCGAACTTCAACTTGGACACCACTGGATCACAACTGAGCCTGAACTCTCGACGTAACTCATCCATGCAGAACCTTGTCCACAAGGGGTCTATGCAGAATCTCAACCAAAACTACAAGGTATTTCAGCTGCAAACCCTTGTTTGCAGTACATATCCAATGTGCGTCTTCAGGGTTCCTATGATGCTCTGAACGATCAAATGGTCACCCACACTCAGACTCAAGTACAATGGGCCTTTAGTGGACAATCTGAATCGCTAACTATCGAGCCCACCATAAATTCTTTCTTCAACCGTGCTAATCGATCCAGAGTATCACCTCTAGTCACAGTTGAGCAATCCAGTCCTACCCCACCTGCGGATCCGCCAGCATCTGAATCGACCCCGAGAATCGAGGAGGCCGACGAAGAAACGGCGGTGAATTCGTCAACTTCGTCCATATTTAGCAATGACGAAGACGAAAGTCTGATCATCCATGAGGACCAAATGATCGACAATGTTCTTGCATGTACGTTTGTTTGTCCCACCAGATTCTTCTTGAACGGCTCATTCTATCGTGCTACTCCTGTTGATTTAATTTTGCTACTTCAGATCGTAGCTGCGTAATGAATGACAAAGAGAAGACGTTTCCGAAAGGAATCTCATCGGGAATTCTCTACCTCACCGAATGGTACGTTTTTCTTCAAATCTTCAGCTGTTATGTAGCCCCATCTCTTTTTAAATCATATGTTAGGACTTCGGTAATCCCTTCAAAACTTGTTGACATGGAGCTATGAAGGTAAAATTTCTTGGAACGACTTTACTCAACCTATTTCTCTCCCTGCCAGGTCAGAATTGATGCCAGAAAGAGGCATATCGTCACGTTTTCTGCTAAATTTGAGTGGACCACAGTACATCCCAGCCAAAAGTAATACCTGCCTACTCTTACTATTATGGTTCGATCGCTCCCGCTCAGGGATCTTGGAAGCGGATAACAGACCTTGCGCGGTGAGGCTACTGATGTAGAACCAGTTACCCTAGTAAGTTCTTTCTCATCTGAGAGCTGAGCTACCTCCAAGTAATCGGTATGCCCCGAGGTTTGGACCCAAGGATGCTCTATGCAAGAAAATCAAGCGGTATGAANACTAGTTGAAGTCAACTGAATTTGGAAAGTTCTGCTTACACCAGTCTGAGAACTTCCGCCTTCTGGTACCTTTTCCTTGTTTGTATGCCTTCCTCGACACCTATTTTAATTAGGTTCACAATTATAGTCATCGATCTCGCAGAAATCGAGATCTCCTCTGCATTTTTCTGCAACAACGAAAAAACTATTCTCCTCAGTCGATCTACTGAAGATCTTCATAATCTCCTGCCCTCTTTAGGGAAACTAACCATAGGAAGATCCAAAACACGCGCCCGACCTCAAAAAGCGCAGATTCCAATCGTAAGCCTTCTTGATCGAATCAACTTGCGATACCCTTGAGATTTTAGCAGCGATTTCGGCCTGGTTTTGGAGAAAAAGTGCATTACGTACATATACATCAATATGACGATCGCCTATTCGAGACGGAAAGTATGGACCGATCAGCACAGCCTGTAAGGTTTCATTGCTCTGGCTTCTGGTCCTTCAGTCCACAAGAGAAGTCACAAGAGAATTGAGTGAGGGGCAGACGCTTCTTTCCCCTCTGCCCATGCTACCGCAGCCGAGTCCCTGACCACCAGCAACCCTCCTCCAAGAGGCATTCATATAAAGCAACTATCTGTGACCGCACCTTCGAAGTTCAATTCACGTACGATCTTTTCAGTGCACTCATCTACCGGTCCAAGTCCATGTCAGACGATCATGCACCTATCATGCTGCTCTTCGCTGACATCATATCTATAAAAAAGGTTAGTGGACACGAAAAAAACCTTTACAATCCACTAATAATAGCCAAATTCAGATACAATCCCTTCGTACTGTAGGACTTCTCACAGGAACGCGAAAATCTCTTGAAATCATGATGGAGGGTCGAAGGAAGCCGTATCAGTTCATCGGGCTTGCCCAGCGGGACGACTTTTTTACTCGCATTCAGACTGTTTGTGGAAATGATTCAAGCATTGAATTCCTCTGAACTGTTTTCGTGTATAGAACCTTTTAAAATCAGGATCTGCCTGAAACCACTGGGCGAGCAACCCTTCCCTAGTCGCTAGCTAGTCATTTCATTCCATTACTTTCAGTTCAGTCTGTTATCAAGTATTTTTGTTGCTCATTTTGGTGATCATCTGGCAAACACAGTCGGGTATCTCTTCCTCCATCTGGCTTGAGGATTATTCATTAATAGTCTATGAATTTGTATAAATTGTTTATATAATTAGTGAAGTATAAACGCAAGTTATGAGGACAAAAATGGTCGAAAAGAGAAACAACTTAACAAATTTGTACAACCCTCACAAAATATTAAAACATATTGTTTACAACAACGTCACAGCTCACCAAAACAAAACAACAATCGAATAGCCGAAGACCTCGAGAGCCCTAGTCGCTTTCTTCATCGCTGGTAACGATTTTCTTCTTCTGTTGCAACTTCTTCTTTCGGAACTCCTGTATTGTTACCATGATACTTTGCAGCAAAACATTAGGAACAAACAAAGCCTCACCTCATCGGAATCCTCGGTCTCTTTATTACCAGCACCACGTCGACCCGCATCGCTTTCCTCGGAATCACTTGCACCTATCAGTGGCGCTTCTACACCACGACGACCACGCGGAATACCTTCGCCTTCGTCGTCTGCAAAAGTAGCTTATCAAATTGACTACAGCAACATCTAATGACCTTGACTACCGAATCGACTGTCCTAAATCTACACTTTTCATTGAAGATAATGGCTCCGCACTAATTTTTCCGAATGCAAAAAGTAATGTGCCATGTAAGGTAATACTATAGGTTGTCAATCAAGTCTGCTAAAGTGCTGTTTTCAGTGACAATACTTCGAGCACATAATCAACTATCAGGTTTTTTGTATGTCAAACACAATACAGTGTTCGCGCAACAACGCATTTTTTACACAGTTTTTCAGCGATCTGCCAGAAAACAAGTCAACAGGACTCGTCCAATTGTGACAAGACGATAAAGTCTTCGGGCGTTAATGAACTCGGTCTGAGGGACGCGCCTCGCATTCGACTTCCACTCACAATCTTAGTGACGAAATGAACGCGTGGTTGGCCTATACAATACATTACGGAACGACGTAGCAACTTGTCAGTTGTTATAGGGCGATTGAAAATCGGTTCGAGCACTCTGTTTCCTTTCTGCCCGTCTCCTGTTGCCTTAAGTCGCTAATTCTCGCCTCATTCAAGCATGAACAAGTCGTTCGTGAGATATGGATGCTCCTGCCACTGCTCCTTAATGATTGAGCCTCAACGCTAACGCTTCCGAAAAGGGATATTTAACAGCGCCTTGGAACACTTATAACCTCACAGCCCTACTGGTAGAAAAAAACAAGAGTTCAAAAGTTACTAGCTCAGTTTTTGCAGTTCAAAAATTATTGAGAACTTCCCTGTTGTCTTGAGCCTATCTGGGAAAACAGTGATCGTAAGGCGAGCAAGTAGGGATAAGCACACAAGCAAAAAATTTAGCAGAAATTGAGACCTGCGAGAGGGTTATTCCCAGGTTTGGTCGCTTTTATGAGAAATGGTAGCACATTGCTCCGTCATGTATTTTCATAGGGAAGGACTCGTAAGGCCAAAAAATCAAAACCCTTCAAATGGCAAATTAGGTCGCTCTTAACAAGACTGCTTCTATTTGACTCGATGCGAATCAGATTGATGCAGCAACCTTGTGACTACTAAAACTCATTTCACCTTGCTCTTCTTCAGAACGTATGATTATATAACTAAACCCTGTACCTGAGAAGTCAGGACGACCATCTGCAAAGCCTGCATTTGGACGGTGGCGATCTTTCGCTCGGCGCTGCTGGCTTTCCCTGCGCAGAGCTGCTCTGAGAGCCTCTTCTTCACGTCGAACAGCTTCCTGAAGTCGAAGAAGTAATACCCATGAGTGGGATTCTGTCAGCAGAAGATCAAAAGTACTCACTCTGCGTGCCTGCTCTGGATTAGATCCCACTTCAGCTACCATACGCACTTGGCCACTCTTCCGGGTTCTTTCCGCCATATTCATTGTTACCTAGAAGCATATAAAAATTGTTTTTATGCATAACGAGGTTCTAGTAAAGCAGCGCACAAAATGATTACCAGCTGAATGGCTTTAGAAAAAACATTAATACTATTACCTTCCTGTGCGTCTCACTGTCGGTGGAATGAGGTCGGAAAATGAGCTTCCTTTCAAAAATTTTCTGTGCAACGAGACCAGCTCCTTGCCTGACGAATAAGTGTTGCATATTGCCATGTATCGGTACTGATTCAACGTCAAATACTTCTTTACCGATTACCATGGACATACTGAAATTGTTCATTGCTGTGAATAAACAACATGTCGTTAGAACGTACAAAGGTTGCTTACGTTCCGTCGCTCCACCTAACAATACGCGTGTTACTTTCCTTTATAACATTACCGTCTGCATCATGAGCAAACCTCCATCGGATGGTGTTTTCGGCCTGAAAATTTCTCTAGAATAATATAAAAACACAACACCAAAGGGCTTGCGACCAATAAAACACTTAGAAGGCACGAATGGTGTCATATTTGGAACACCTTGAAAATCGCTAAAGTTCATTTTCTGTCAGATGTAATAAAAAGTCAATGGATAAAGTTTTTGGCTTTAATCAATCCTGTTTAGGGTGCGCCTCACGTTTGACTTCTAGCCAGTATGATAGTGTCGCATTGAATGTGTTTGCGGCTTACACAGTGTGCTGATGTGGCTATCAGATGTACTAGTCAAACTCCCATTCACCAAAACGAGTCCAGTACAAAATTTCCAACCGACCCAACAACATGATAAAATATTGATACAGACCGTTTCTCATCATCAAAAGGTTGTGTTGACAAATGAATTACTCGCCGATTTACTTAGTTCCCGAAGAATCGCTGCGCAAGGGACTCTTACGTACAACTTTAGACCAGAACTTACAGGCACCAAATACGACTCATCATCAGTCGAATGATAGTTGATAAATGATCATTATGCAATGGGGAAGAGCAATATATTGGAAACATAGGTCAAATGGGCAATTAATTCTTGTATTTACTCACCTTCAACTTCAAACGATTGCGTCCCTCATCATCAATATGATCGTCGTCTTCATCCTCTTCGTAAGTCTCTGGATCGAACGGTTTCTGCGCGACAGAGAAAAAATTTGGAATCTAAAAAAACAGAACCCTCTCCTTATCTAAAACCAAAAAAAACAAGTAGTAGAATACCTTCATGAACTGAATCCCATCACCGAAATCACAATCCACTTTGCTCACGGTAATCTAGAAAAAAGATACCGTTTACGACGTGTTTCACACTGAGACCTTATAAAAACAAGGCAAAAGCAACTAACGTCAACTATGGTTGGTGGTAACTGCTTTTCAGTCTCTTCATCTTGTTCTGGATACATTCGAATACCATGAACGCTATCGTCACCTCAAGCATTTACATTACCACTTATAAGCTGACAACAATTCCACTCCACTAGAAAGATTTGAAGATTATTAATCTCAGAGAAAAACTAACTCTTGTGGCTGGCGTCTGATTTATTTCCATCAGATTCAGTGACAGCTCTTTTCTTCTTGACTGCATCTCCTCGCTCATCATCTGAATCAGACGATAAGTCATCTCCGAAAATACGAGCTGCGGTCGTTGGCGAACGTTTGCCGCTACCACCACCCTGAAACGAACCTCGAAATAACTGATTTTTGATCTTCCAGTTCCGTAAACAATAAGATCTTGAATTTACTGTCATTGTTTCACGCCCGCTCTTGATTTGAGAGCAGCTACGCAAGTGAATCAAGTGATAGTTCACAGGGAAATTCTCAGTTTTCAATGTGAATTCACACATATGATCTCAATTTCTTTTCCATTGGGCTTTCCCCTTTAATTTCACAAGATTATTCAGATTCTTCATATCCAAGATCGTGTCTCAGGTTGATGTTGCTACTTACTTGAGCGATGGGTAATCTGAAGCGCTAATGAAGCAGAATGCCGGGAGGTTTCCCAAATGACAGAAGTAAACTAGACACCCATTTCTAATTGGCATAAGAGTAAAGCATGTGACATCCTCGCCAGAGAACGATCTGGTTAAGTTATATTATAGATTCAGAAGAAGTGCGAACATTACGCAAGAGAAATTAGAGAGAGCACGGTTCGTGAATGAGCGATTTTTCTGTTAATAAAGAAGCTCTTCTTGAGGAGAAGGGAGTTGCTTACCAAATTTCGGAAGATCTGAGCCTGTCATTCAGATGGGTCTTCAAGTCAGAAGAATGTGGGTAAATTGGGAATTGAATTACCTTCCCTCTCCATAACAGAACTGCTTTGCAATGTTGTGCGATTCTTCCAACCGCTTCTTTACAATCTCCAAAGTTGTCTCTGAGTCAGGGATAGGAGCAGTTTTGCATGCTCCGAGAAAAGGAAATGCATTGAGCTTTAGCGCTTCATAGCCTCATTTGAGTAAGGCAAATAAGGGACCTTCGAAACCTAGCAAGTCAAATCTGGTAAAGGGCGGAACAATTTGCACTAGGCTCAGAAATATATCGGATCCGTAGAGACTTGAATATGGAAGAAGACGAAGCATTTAGAATCGTAGATACAGTTGAGTGGTCTCCATTCACCCATCCGTCCCAGGTGTTGCTGCACGGTAACAAGTCAAATAGCACAGCAAAACTGCCCGAAATGAAAAGCACTGCCGGAGACAACATTGAGAGCAAGAATGAAGGGATGAAGAAGTTGGCTCAATTTATAAGCACTTCTGTCAAACACTACTGGCAACGTTCGCAGCCTGCTAGTTCATTAAACAACATTTGACGACCTCGCATCTATCCTTTCTGTGGATAGATCGCTCTTGGAGGAGTTGCAGAATCTGTTCTCGTACATATTATCGATGAAAATCAGTTCAAGGTACTCCCCATGTTCGTAACTTCACTCGACTTTTTTGTGATCGCCTAGTTTGTCGGTTCGGCTACAAAGAAAACACTAGTGATGAGAGAAAAGAAAGAGGCCTTTGAGGAAGACATCGATAATGTCGGTGATTGTGCTGTGAACACCGATAAAGTCAAAGCTCCTGAGGACTACTGTGATAATTCATTACCACTCGCAGCGTTTCTCAGAATAAGCGAGAAAGCAGCAGTACGGATGGGATGGTAACCAAAAATGCATACAGTACTTGTGATCAAGGCAATGAATTACCCAAACAAGTTATAGCGAAGAGTTCACCTTGTGGTGTTCGAGTGATTAGGTAGATTCACAAAAGATCGATGTTACGGGCTAAAACCTAGTTACTATTAAGCTATCCGAAGACCGTAGCAATAAAATAGCAAATTCTCATATCTACAACAAATTCAACATAGAAAATGTACCTCATCTTCTGAACTGTCACTGATCAAACTCTTCTTCACCTTCCGAGGAGATGCAGAAGATCGTTCCGAATCACTTTTTTCCGAACCTAAATTGGAAACAAAATTCAACACTTTCAAGCCTGTCACATTTTCCAGACTTCCAAATACTGCGAGTTCCAAGCGGAAGCAACTAGAATCATACTTCACACGCGCACGGTCACGGGTTCGAATCCCGGATCGATGCCCGCCTAGGCCAACCAAGCCTTCCATCCCCTCGGGGTCGGTGAATTGGTACCAGACTCGTCTGGGAGGATAAAAGCACTGACTTGTACATCGGCTGGCCACCGCAAGTCATTGTATAGGCCACATACGCACTCATTACGCCACTACGATTCTGAATGGAAGTCGAGTGCGGGGGCGCATCCCTCAGACGGGATTGATTAACGCCAAAAACTTTATCCTTATATCCTATGACCCGATCATGAAAATGACATTCATACTTAACCTGAATAGGAAACTACAGTTTTCCCCCACTAACGCATCACACTATATTGCCTCAACTACTTACGAGACTAAGAACTGTGAGAAGTACTAAAAACGATTGAAAGTTTAGGAAAAGAACTATTGTTCTGGTAGGTATCCCTACCATAGTAGCTTGATAAGGCAATACCTTTCCGTTAACGCTTTCATTTTATTGTTTTTTCCGCTTCACTTCAGTGAGTACTTGAATTAAAGGAACATTGTCCACCCTTCTGCTAAAACAGCGCTCGTAATGCTGTCTGAAAAGTCACTTTCTTGATCAGGACCGACAGCGAATTTCATAGTGAAGATCGTGGCCGAAAACATACTTTACTCACTGTGCTGGGGTTGTCAATCATTAATTAAAAAGCAATTTTGTGCGCTAGCTCTAATTTTCCAGGATTCCCAACATAATTGGGCTAAAGTTTCGGCCGCTTCGCCTTCGTTAGAGACTGAAAGTCGATAACCATTTGATGTTTTTACCAATTTTCGCCTTCCAGGCTCTGACGCAAGCAAAGCGTTAGCCCTCTGAAGTGGGAAATTTTGAAAGGGCTAAGGCTAGCACATACACACAAGTCCAAGCTCGTGCCGAGATTGGGAAAAAATTGATCATGGTTTATTCTACAAAATGAGAAGCAACTGCCTCGATAATGTACGTTGACGTCGACACTATAGAAGGAACTCATAAAACGAAAATATGTGCAAACCTTTTTCGCTAGGGACATTTTGTGAATTTTCGTCAGGATGAGATCGATGTGAAGGAGTGGAATCAGATTCACCACTAGAAGAGTTTCTAAAATACAACGAGTAATGACGTCTTCACTTAAATCACGGGTATTAGATAACAAACCTCTGCGGAGTTTCATTGCCATTTTTGTTTTCGTTGTCTTCACTTGCGCTATCGGAATCCGACATTTTCTGCAAAAATGGTCCATGATTCATCACATTTACAGGAACTCTGTCAGAGAGTCCAACAATAATTAACGGCCGATTAGATGATTAGATGCAAAGCCATGGATCAGAGATAAATTACAAAATGAAAGGTAAAATAAGTTGCTAACGAACTATTTGAAATTCTCTCGTCTGATAACATGTAAGTTTTGAAGGTGCACACGATACTTATCTCACGCCTATTTACCGAATATTCCACCTGAGAGAGCACCTCAGTTGCGGTTTGATCTTCTTTATATAGTGTCTGCAGAAACGTGTCTATCCATCGTAGTCTAAAATTAGAAGTATTCGAACCGAGACTGGGTTTCATATGCTAATCGAGGGTCGACTGAACCTGCATAGTGTTGATTATTGGCGTGCAACACAAACTGTTGAAAAGAACGAATATCTTTATCCTCTACCGTTTCATCTTATTCTTTCGATTACCACTTTTTGCTGAATTGCCAAGGGTAGTATTGGCAAACATTTTAATGGTTGCATTCAGCGTTATTCGGTCCCAAATCAGCTTTCTTAGCAAAGGTTGTTAATCCCTGAAGGAGGGCCTCGGCTGTTCTCGATGAAGTACGATATGAAAATCCTTATCATCCGCCACAGTTTATCTCTACACCACAGAGGATGGGCTTGGGGAAATCAAAATCATGGACGAAATGGTTTTTCGTGCTCTTCGAGCTGAATAAGGTCTAAATTTATATTCAAACTAACGGTTGCTAGAAAGCTCTCTCCAGACTTCCTATTTGTATTTACTTATTTTGATTATCGAACAATCTCTGATATACTAGGGTAGGTCAGGTAGCTCGTCGTTTGCATCATACCCTGGCGAACAAGTGTGCTCTTATGTGTGGGTGGGTTGTGTTTCCCAGGTCTTCCTGCTCCCCGGCCCGAACTCAGAAGGCTACCTTCAGACGCAGACGCGACGACGGATTTTTCTTCAAAGAACCTGTTGGAGTTATCATTTTTTGAGACATTATCGGAGACCAGTCGGTTGCAATCAAGCTAATTTGTCTGGAGCAATGCAAGACGGGTGTAGAATGGTGGTCGGGATTCATTAGCGTACCAGCGTATATGCTAGGACGTGCTATGAATGGTTTGTATTGATACCAATTGGACTATCAAAGGGTTATGAATGACCTGAACCCACCTTCTAAGAACCTTGCCTAGAGACTTGGACGGAATCGAATGAAGTGATGAACTGATGTAGGGAGAGCCGCCCACCGAGAAAACGCTCCACCCACTGCGAGGTAGGTACAGCGTTGGTTGGTTTCTCCTTTCTTTCGTTTGTTGACCTGTTCCTCATATTGCTCTTCTTCTAGCGATATTGGGCGATTTGGGAACAGACATGAGATGCTCTGCTCTTTGCATCACTCATTCCGGTACAATTCGGCCCAGTGTGCAGGTCCCTGCTGAATCCATTCTTCCCTCTTGCCATACCCATATCGAACTTAACTCTATCTTACGCAGTGTTCCTCTGGTTACATAGAATCTCGAGACTCGGAGAGACGCACGGACAGGGGTGCCCTTCATATTCAGTAAGTAGTGATGTTGATACAGAAGTTTCTGAACATATAATAGTAATGAATTTTGATTTCAGCTCCGCCCTTTTACACCCCCTTCTAAGCATGAAGATTTGACTACCTCTACCTAGTTGGCTTACACCTACATTCTCTGTTTTGATAGGATTATGAATTTTCGTTTTCGGCTCAACCCACCTCGAAGTGTGCGCGCCCTTCACGGAGATTTAACAACCCTTTCCTTTGACGGATTTAACTGTTTTTTTTTTCAAGTTTCTGGTTGTAGAACGGTTTCGAAGAAAAGTGACTGTGAAGTGATGTAAGAACATTTTTTTCGACCCCCGGTTTTCGCTGGCTTGAGTTATGAGCTTGTATAGAAAGTACCGCTTCCTGCGGAAACGCTCTGTGGATGTCCTTGATTCCATCTGTTGATCCATTCCTCACCTCTGCGCATTTTAACCAAGTCTGGTCTGTTTGGAAGCCAAATTAATAAGTTTTATCCACAGCACCATCTACTCCTGTGCATTTCCCACACCTCGTGGGCGGAGCTTCACTGAACTTACGCGTACTTGCCCTATTTTAATAGTGTAAGGATGTCTCGGTTGGTCTGAACGGATTCGATTTTAAAAAAAGACTTCCGAAACATTTACTTACCAAGAGCCTCCTATATGTACCTCCAGCGCAAGCGTACAATTTCTGATTTTTTTTATCCCTGTTCTATACATAGGCCTTACCTTCATACGCCATCAAATTTTGCGGATTTGCTTCCAAATTAAAACCTTTTTCAGTATGCATTTAAATTTGCAATGTCACAAGGATTAGACCATTTCTTACTATTTATTCACAGTACTTCTTTCCGGGTCAAATATTTAGTCATGAATTTAGGGAGAATATACGTGCTGAAAAACATAATTATTAAACAAGTAAGCAGTTCTCACTGCAGCACACGTCATAATAGCTGCAATCAAACACAAGTGAATAGGGGTTTAAATAAATTCAACAATACATTGTCAGTAGTGGCAGTAAATGAGATTATCTACAGCATGAAACACAACCTTAGCAGTTCAGGCACATGCCAAATTGCAAGATTAAGTAGTGAGGATGATTTGATAATAATAATAATAAGACCTATGATGGAACAATTGTAGGACGAATCGGAGTGAGTCAGTCAAACACGAAATTGTGGTCGAGTATTTTGTGAGCCGCCAGCGTTCGATGCTGATCGCGCCTTAAAAAGACGTTATTAAGGGTTTCAGCTTTCCTTGAAAAATCTGTTTTCGTATACTTCTACATTACTTTGGTGGTTATCGATTGGGATTATTTTCAACCTGATCTTCCCATATCAACACAACACTGTGATGTGCTGTCTCATTCTAAGAATTATTTAAGCAACCAGAAATGCAAATACCATCTTGTTCAAGCTCTCGGGAAAGCTATCCTAAGAGAAAATTCGAGATCAGCGATGTGGACGTGGGGTTGCTTAAATGCAGACCTTGATGCTTAATTACTTTTAGTTCCATATTTCAAGCCATTTGGGTATTTAGTAGATAGGCTTTGGCAACGACGAGGTGAAGAACATAGGATACATAGGATAACTTGAATTACCAACCCTGTACAGGGATCAATAACCGAATAAGCAGCACACCAATATGATCAAGCCTTTAAAACCCACTATGCCTAAAGACATCATCTCTGGTTCAAAGGCTTAGGCCACTATAATTTTGAAGTATCTAATTTTAGACGAATAACTGAAGTGATACTTTAGAATAAAGGAGAAAAGGGCAAAAAAAAATATAGAAAATATTGGGCTTCAAAAAATAAGTAAGACTTGGGGTTAACCGAGAAAGTGACGACAGAGGTTGCATGAAAGGGGTGTTTGCACGAGTTGCAATGTGTGGGTTGGTGCGAATGGTGCAACCTCCAGCATTTTCTGTGCTCAAGAACTCGTCCACCTTTGGTGTGCACATCGGCTAGGTCGGTTTTGGGGACCTAATTACACCCTACCTTTGCCGCTTTTTTGACTCCAAGGCGTACCTCAGGTTATCTTTGGGGATCACAGATTCATACAAAGGATTATTGAAAATGTTTAAAACGTGAACTGTGCCTTTAACTGTGTAGGATCTTGCCGCGATGCCACAGTAGGCAACTGGGTGGATGACCAAATGCTGTTTCTAATGATAATCAAATGTACCGGTTAATCTAAGCCTATGTGTCTGTACTCTGTTGTTACCGGGCTTTCATTACTAAACTTGGTTTCGTGAAAGGTAAGTATTTCTCAGATGTTTTGCAATTTAAGAAATCCTCTTCTTCAATTAGATTCTAACCCGCACAGTGCTTAAGGAGCCGGGACGACCGTTGCTATTGGACATCATCCGCTCAATCATCGTTTTCACATATCGCAAACGACCCATGAGTGCCTGAAATTCAACCACGTACGAGCGTTGTGTATACCACTGGGAAAAAGGAAGAAAAAGTATCAGAAACAAGGCCTGGTACCTTTGTGCATCCATGGCTTTCCAGGTGCGATAGTTTGTAGACACGGAAATTCCTATGCTCATCGATGTAGGTAATCGCTCCCATCAGAGGGCAAACAATTGTCTTCGTGTGGTCCTGAATAAGGAAAACGTTGAAGGGCGTATGGCTTACGAAGATGCAAAAGACTCACTTCGAAGAAATTAATTTGTAGAGTGCCATTAGACAAATGCAGCACAATCGCAGATCGTGTACGGAACCAGTATCGAAGAACCGGAAGGCGGGCCAGGTCATCACCATCCTTAAATGCAGAACGCAACTCGCAGCATGACCATAATCAAAAAAAGCTAGAAACTCACTTTTTTAACCACATGAGCTCCTGCTTTTATCAAATGTTCATTCATGTAAGCTCGGAAATATTTCAATAGAGTAACCTGAGTTTCCAAACATTAGTATGACGATAATGCGCAGAAAAACAATGACTTCAACACACCTTTTTTGCTAAGCTCTCAGGATAGGAGTCTATGCCGTAATAGTTTTCCGTTTCATTTTTCTCGATATAAGTTAGTTCGTTGCCAGCCTCATCAAGCACCAGCTTCGAACTATCGTTGAACAGCACTCCAACCTGTAAAATATTCTTCTTGAAAAAACGCAAACTAACTCTAACCAGACAGGGTGAGAACTGATTGGTGCGATTTGATTACTTAGATTTATGTGACTAACTGACAGCTCTCATACAGCTAGATCATAACATTGGCGCATACTTTGCCTCGGTAACTGATGATTACGAACCTATCTTCTGCAGTAAGCAAAAACATCAACTGGTATAAGGTACATGTAATTAGAGAGGGCTCTGAACGGGGTTCCGAATGTTTAGTGACAGGAATAACTTCAATTAGCACTATGACATCGGTCTAGAGTAATAACAACCAGCAAGCTTCGACCAAGATATGGCGCTGCAAGCTGAATTCGAAGCACAACTATGTGAGCCCCCCCCC